TTCTTCTTCTTTTTTTTTTTTTTGCATGTTTCCGTTTTTCAGACAATGTCATCTCATCAGTAGTAAAGAGCTTTCGATCTTCAAGGTAAGAAAGATTGGAAGCGGATAAAAATGAAATAAAACTTAAACTGATTTAGATGTCAGCTTCAAGTAGCTATCAAACTCACTAAACAGATCACAACACTTTTTCAGGAAATAGAAGTCCATTGTACAATAAACCTTTAAGCATATTAAAGTACTATCGTATCGCTTTTATTCATTTACTATTCTTGTCGGTGAATCACGGGAATTCAAGAAATTCAAGGAAGACGAATGTATTCTTTGCCGACCACGAAACATACAATGACTGTCCAAACTCATCTTGAAATTTTGAAAATATACTAACCAATAAGCTAATTAACTAAGCTTTGGTTTTAGATTTAAAGAATTTGTTTTTTCTTCGACTGGCGAGAGATGTTTGGATGTTAAGAGGAGCATTAAATTAAGGCGAAGGAAAACAACTGTGAAAAATTTAGGCGATTGCGGGGGTCGTCGTTGTAATACACTTTCACCTAACTCTAAAATTTAACAAGTTTTAAAAATAAAATATAGTGTTTCATCTATTTTCATCGTTGTTTTGAACAATGTTTTCTATAGAGGTAGGTAGGTTATTTTGCAGAGAATTATTACAACGTAGGAAGTAAAACGATGCTGTGAGTGCTCAGCTAAGACCGGGAATTTGTAAGTGGTCAAAGTTATTAAGTAAAGCCAATTTTGACTTGGTTTAAAATGAAAAACAAAGCAATAATTCATTTCAATTGTTAAAGAATTAAAAGGACTTCTTTTCATCAAGTTAAATGCATTGCCCTTGATATGCGAAGCTTAAGTAAAGTGTCTTGTCGAGGGGTTGTTTCTCGTCAAGTTGGTCTTCGACAACAATCGTTAGTGTGGGTTTTAAATTTGTAGGCAATATATTTTGATCACYTTGAATGACAATAAAGACTTCAAATATCCGTTTTTACTCTTGATGGTTTAAATACGTTCTTAATAGTTCATTACCGTTGGTCGTTGTTCACTCACCGAAAACCAAAAATGAATGCCGGTCTCAATTATAGGCGTTTTGTTGCTATAAAAGACCACGCGACAAAAGAAGTCGTTCACATAGTTTTCAGAGAAGTAAAGCAGAACAAAACTTGAAACATGCAGAAAGCAAGGCTATCTTTTGTGCTTATCTTTGCTTTAGTGCTAGGAAGTTTACTGGTGCAAGTGCAAGAGGCAAGCGGTGGAATGCCATCTCCACCGTATGGAAAAAGAAGATATAGAATGGTGAGATATTGAAAA